AGAGAGAGAGAGAGAGAGATTTTTAAATTCTCCATGAAGTATACTATGTTCCATCACTCCTTCCCAAAGCCACTGGAAGCATTCCTTCTAGGAAAGGCGGAGTTGGTGGCGAGAAGCTGGAGGTGAGAAGAACCCTGAACGGACGGATTCATTCATTTTCTGAATTTCCTATGTGAGGACGTATTAGAGCCCAGTGAGGCTTTGAGAGGCCCCAAAGATGAGCGCCAACAGCAGCAGAGCAGGCCAGCTTCTCTTGCAGGCTTCAGCGTGCATTAGCTGGAAGCAGGATGTGGAAGGGGCTGTCTACCATTTAGCCAACTGCCTCTTACTCCTGGGCTTCATGGGGGGCAGTGGGGTGTATGGATGCTTCTATTTTTTTGGCTTCCTGAGTGCAGGTTACCTGTGCTGTGTGCTGTGGGGCTGGTTCAGTGCCTGTGGCCTGGACATTGTTCTTTGGAGTTTCCTGCTAGCTGTGGTCTGCCTGCTCCAGCTGGCACACCTGGTATACCGCCTGCGTGAGGACACCCTCGCTGAGGAGTTTGACCTCCTCTACAAGACGCTGTGCCTGCCCCTGCAGGTGCCCCTACAGACATACAAGGAGATTGTTCACTGCTGCGAGAAGCAGGTCTTAACTCTGGCCACTGAACAGACCTATGCCGTGGAGGGTGAGACACCCATCAACCGCCTGTCCCTGCTGCTCTCTGGCCGGTAAGCTACTCTGTCCATTGCCCAGAATTTCTTTCCCCCGCCCACACTTCTCATTTCCTAGTGTGTCCCTTTCCATTTCATGTCCCATTCCATTGAGGGAAGGATGTGACAAGTCAAACAAACCAAAATAGATTTTTCTAAGAGTGGGGTTGCTTCCTCTTTCTTGGCATTTTCCAAGAAGAAACCAGTTGGTAAGGCATCTTGGTTGGCAAGAATGGTTGTGTGTGCCCTTGCTGCTGGAAGGTGTGCAGTGTGTGTGTCTTGCGCCTGGGCCTTAAAGAACCCCTCTACCACCACCACACACATATCAGTGTGTCATGCCTAAGCTGCAGCAGTATCTCTGTAAGCTTTGAAAAACTAACATTTCAGTAAGGTTAATCTGTTCCTTATTCAAATTCAACATTTGCTAAGTACCAACTATATTCAGGGAACAATGCTAGAAATGGGAGATCAGGGAAGGGGGGTGGTTCTCATAATCCCTGTTCCCTGCCAAGGCATCGAGGAAACAGCCCCACTTGTGTTTAGGGTACCTGTATGCAGCCAGGTAGGGAGAGTGAATACCCCTTGCCCACCTTTCCATTTCCAGTTGTTCTATTGAGGCTCTTGCAAACTAAGAAGTCAAGTACAGTACTGTAAATCTGAGGGCCTAACAATGGGAGAAGAGAAGTGATGCTTATGCTGATCTCATTAAGGCTTGTGTGGAAGCACCGCCTCTTTTGGAGAAGGCTGCCAGTCGGATATGGGCAGAGATGGTCTTAGTCAGGATCAGTGTATGCCCAGTCAACCTGGATGTGAATGTTGGGCACGGATATCTTCTGAGAAAATATCACGGGGCTCTGTGCTACACACTTAGTAGGTAATTGTGGATTTTTTTGATACTGCCCTAGTGGCTCTTGAGCCCCACAACCCCCACTCCACCAGCTTTCTTGAGACCAGGAGAATGTGGTAGAAAAGGTAAGATGGCAATTAGAAGGCTCCAGTTCCAAGAAAAAACAAATCGAATCCAGATAATACTGCCAACCACACAATGGGGGAAAAACGTTTGACAATGATGCTAATTGTACTACAACTACCACTAATAGTAATAATACACGTTTATGTATTCATTTATAGAACCTGAAATATCATGTATATATGTTTTGATTTTGTTTGAACTCAGAGGTCCTGGGTTGAATGAACTATGAGGGGAGACATTTTGTGGGGGTACATTTCATTTCATTTATTGGTGAACTGATAGTGTAAACCAATGTGATTATTTCTAAACAAATATAAGTGTAAATACAAATACATATAACTATTGCCAAAATGTTTGCACCTAGAGTTCCATGCTTAAAGACAATTTAGGGAACTTGCTCATTCATGAGACCCATGACGTTGTAACTCGTCTGTTCAAAGGAGGAAATTGAGACCAGCAGAAGTGCTTCCTCCAGTGTAGGGTGCTCATTTGCTGGAAGCATGTAGGGTTACTGTAGAGTTCAGGTAGGACAGATTTACTGTGGACTTGTATAAGATCACTTCCCAGTGAAGGGGAGAGGGGGGCTTGCCCTTGGTGTAGCTTTTCCTGGTATACTTAGCATCAAAAGGCCGAGTCAGAAATTAGACAATTTTGATTTTTTTTCTTGCCTTTCAAGGTTTTGAGTAAGAGTTTTGTTATCTTTCAATGTCACCCTGGCTCAGCTTTGCTGAGCTGGACATAGGGGAAAAGGCTTCTAGTCTATGACTGGGCTCTAGTTTTAAAGGAGAATCGCTGAACCCTGGGCTGGTTGCAGTAAGGGAGCAAACATCTCAAAGCAGCAGACAAGAACTTTGTGCCAGGAGGTGGGGACTCTTGTGCAGACTTCCCGATCTCACATGCACACTGTTCTCTAGAGTCCTTCACTCAAACTTCAGAAGTCATTTTGTTTTATTTTAATAAAGGAAACCAATCTAAACCAATCTCTTTCAAAACTCAGAGAGGCAAAGTGACTTCCTCAAAGTCTGTCTCCCTGTTAAGCAGAGCTTAACTTAGACAATTTCTCTCATATAAAATTCAAAACACAAACTTCCATATATACAACCCCCTGAGCAGGCAACTAACTATCTAAGCTATTCATATAGGAGAAGATCATCCATCATCCAGTAGATCAAGAAGGAAGAAGAGACAGATGATAAAGCGCACAGCATTCCAATTAAAATGGCTTCAGCGAGCCATGAAGACCATTAGACACTATCTACACTCTATAGTCATCACTCTTTGGTGGCTTGCCTGGGTGGCTGAAATCGCCTAAGGATCTGACAGGTGCTGCAGCAGCACCATTCTCTTCTGCTGTCTTCCTTTCCTAGGGAAGCTTTTCACTGAGGTTTTGATCCCCTTTTATTGTGACACAAGTGTGTTTGTTCCTTGGTTTCCTTTGTTGATTTATTCATCCTTCCTTTCTTGTTTCCTTCTTTCCTTGTTTTCCCCCTTCCACACATATTTATTCAGAGTGTTCCTGTCTTCCAGTTTTAGGTTGTCAGATAATAAGTGCAATCGTTTTTTAATTGGTCATGATCTTTGGTGATTTGTACACACGCATATATACCTAGGCATTCATTAAAAGGAAGGCTCAGGAGTGCTGATATCCCATTGGCCAGGACTTATCACATGCCTATGCCTAGCAGTCAGGGAAGTAGAGAAATGTTGATTTTTGCTCTGCCGTCATGTGTCCAGTTAAAATCTAGCACCATTAAGGAAGAGAAGAAAGCAGCTACTGGAGAACAGACTGCCACACTGGATTTCCCAGGTCTTTGTTCATCCCCATGTTTATCTGCTTCTCAATACCCTTTGCATCCCTCAAAATTCAGTTCAACTGTCATCTCCTTCAAGAAGTCTGCTGCCCGAAGAGAACCAATCTCTCTCCCTCCTTTGTTACTGTTCCACAATAGCACCTATCACATTGACTTACAGTCAGTTATTTATGTGCCTGTGACTTCCACTAAATTGTGAAATCCTCAAAGACAAAGACCAGATTGTATCCATCTCTGCATTCCCAGATCTCCAGGAACATGGGAGATGCTCCATGAATGTCTGTTTAGCCAATAAATCTCCAGAAATAATGGAGGGATATCTCCACCAAATGAGCAAGGTGTACCTTAGAGATCTTTTTCATCTTCCCCCTTTGCCTAATAGAGGCACCCCATTGTCCGATATTACTCACTTTAGAAGAGAGGTTAAAGATGGAACTCTTAAGTTTTCTGGGCAGTGGTTGAGAGGGAAGGATAAAGCCCATACTGGATTCTAATCTTTTTCCAGATGTGGCATCACATCTGAAATACATTCCCTGTCCTCAGGCATCGTCATACAGCCACAAGCGTACAAAGGCAGCAAGCAGCAATAGTAAGGCTCCTAACCCCTTAAGTTGTGAAACCAAGCCTGGGGTCATGGGCCAGTCAAGAGCAATTGTTTAACCTGTTGGTAGTGTGGAATAAGAATATTCATAAAATTAAAGTGAATATATTAATTAGGATTTCTGGCTGCAGACAGAAACCCACTCTAGCCAGCAGAAGGGTGTGGGGGGTGGAAAGGTCTTTATTTAAAAAGATACAAGGATTTCTCATGAAACTCAAGGAAAGACATGCACCTGAGCCTCAGGTAGTACTAGAAACAAGAACGTGTCCTACTAGGACATTTTATGTGATTTCAAGTCTATTTTCTCTATAGCCAGTTGGGACCCATGCTCTTCAAAGTCTGAGTTATGTGTCAAAAAAAAATTTTTTTTAGTTCCTTCAGGGAGGAGTATGTTAGTTTTGTTAATGTCTGATAATTGTCCCCATCCAAGGCATGATTTACATTCAATTCCATTTCCAAATTCGCAGGGAAGGAGTTTGATTGGCTCAGCTTGAGTTAGGTGTTCACCCTAGGACCATCAACTGGATAGGGTGCGTAGGATCTCATTGTCTAAAGAAACAAGCTATTATTGTCCCCTGTGGTTAGAGAGGTCAGGGAAGGGGTCATGCTGGGAGAGTCCACTACCATCTACCCAAAGCTCTAGTAATAGGGTGGCAACACGGTGTTGTGCCAAGAACATAGAATTTTGGTTCTGCCACTTGATTGCTATGTAAACTTAAGCTCGCCACTCAACCCTTCTGAGCACCAGTTTCCTTAGCTATAAAATACAGAAAAGAATAATCTACCTTGAGGTGTTGTGAACATTATATAAGAGAACACTGGTAAAGTGTCTAGCCGAGTCTGGCATATACTGGACTTGCCACTTCCTTCAAAGTCTACAAAGTGGTTAAATGTAAGCATGGATCTTCACGTAGCTAATGGGAAGGAAGAAAGGAGAATCTGTGGGGCAGTGGCATCCAACAGAGCTTTCTGTGATGACGGAAATGTTCTAGATCTGTGTTGTACAACATGGTAGTCACAGGCCATATGTGGCTGTTGAGCACCTATAATGTAATTAGGTAAGGAACTGAATTTTTAATTTTATTTAATTTTAATTAGTGTAAATGTAAACTTAAATAGGCAGCAGCGTTCTTTTCTCTTTTTTTGAGACAGAATTTTGTTCTTTTGCCCAGGCTGGAGTGCAGTGGTGTGATCTCGGCTCACTGCCACCTCTGCCCCCGAGTTCAAGTGATTCTCCTGCCTCAGCCTCCTAAGTAGCTGGGATTGCAGACACTCACCACCATGCCTGGCTAATTTTTGTACTTTTAGTAGAGATGGGGTTTCACCATCTTGGCCAGGCTGGTCTCGAACTCCTGACCTCAGGTGATCCACCTGCCTCGGCCTCCCAAAGTGCTGGGATTACAGGTGTGAGCCACTACACCGGGCCAGCAGCAGAGTTCTTGAGCAGTAGTTTCCATCCTGGCTACACATTAGAATCACTGGGGAGATGTAAATACTAATAATATCCAGATCCTACCTAGAGAGATTCTTGTTTCATTGCTCTGGGATAAGGCCCAAGCCTAGGTGCTTTTTTAAAAGCTTCCCTGGGGCTTCTACTCTGCAGCCTGAAATTGAGAACCACCAGTAAGGAGAAGGAGGAGGAAAATGAGGGTTCAGGAAGTCTCAATGGGTTCCATTTCTGAACTATTTGCATGCAGTAACTAGGCTGGCTAGTCTAGCTTTGGGTTTTGCCATGCTTTAGGCAAAGTATTTCTACAGGAAGATTCATGTTAATCAGCGACACCTAACTTCAGAATAGATGACTTGGAGAGCCATTTTCCTTTTCCCACATGATCTCTTCTCTTCCCTTGCCAGGGTTCGTGTGAGCCAGGATGGGCAGTTTCTGCACTACATCTTTCCATACCAGTTCATGGACTCTCCTGAGTGGGAATCACTACAGCCTTCTGAGGAGGGGGTGTTCCAGGTAACAGGGAGCCCCGTGGCAGCACCGCCTCACCCCGTCCCGCTGTAGCCCAGCAGTATCCGTGCCTCCATGTTTCCCCTCTCACATCTGCCCTTTGCACCACTGCCAGTGTAAAGCTACAGGCCGGGGCACTCTTCCTCTGTGAAAAGAGTTCCTGGGCTCCTAGCCATAGGTGAGGCAGGGTAGGAAGATACTGGCCCCTGGGTAGACCATGTTACTTGAATGCTTAAACTCTTCTGGAAGACCCTAGTGCCACAAGATAAAAACCCACACTCCTTACAGGGTAACTTAACCCTTTTAGTGCTCTCTAGCCACATTCCCAGCTCTCCCTCCTTCATATTTTTTGCTCATACTAGCCATGCTGAACCACTAGTCCTTACCTAAACACACCACATTGTTTTGCATCTCTGTGCCTTGGCCCCTACTCTCCCCTCTGAAATGCATTTCCCTTTCTAGATGAGACCACGGCACCTCACTTCCTCTGTGAAAACTGCCCGAATTGACCTCACCAACATCCACCCCACAGCCTAGCGCTCCGGGGTGCCTGTTCTAGTCCTTTTACTTATGCTAACTGGTGCACATCTTGCTCTCTGTTCTAATAATCTGGTCTCCTTTCTGTCTTCTGTACCGTGAACTCCTTGAAGTAAAAATCTAGGCTTTTCCTTCTCTGTTCCCAGACTCTAAAGGAAAGTACCTGGAGCACAGCAGCTGTTCAGTAAAGAATTGCTGGCTGGGCGTGGTGGCTCACACCTGTAATCCCAGCACTTTGGGAGGCTGAGACGGGAGGATCACGAGGTCAGGAGATCGAGACCATCCTGGCTAACACAATAAAACCCCATCTCTACTAAAAATAAAAAAAAATAGCTGGGCTTGGTGGTGGGTGCCTGTAGTCCCAGCTACTCGGGAGGCTGAGGCAGGAGAATGGCGTGAACCCGGGAGGCGGAGCTTGCAGTGAGCTGAGATTTCACCACTGCACTCCAACCTGGGTGACAGAACAAGACTCTGTCTCAAAAAAAAAAAAAAAAATTGCTGAACTGGTTTGCCACTGGGCAGCTGATGTCCCAGAGGACTCCATGGGGCATTCACATACATGCTTCAATGCAGGTGCCTGGCTGCCTGGCCCCTACTCTTCTTATCTCTGCCAATCCCTCAGGCTTTGGTCACTTTCTCTTTAGCTCTCACTTATTGAATGGCTAGCATGTGGCAGGCACTACATATCATATTGCCTCATTGGTTCTCACAACAACTCTATGGGTTGAATATGATTATTACCCCATTTAACAACTGAGGAAACTAATGCCCAAAAACATCAAGTAATTTGCCCAGGGTCTTCAGCTAGAAAGTGACAAAGCCAAGTTGCCTGGATCTACCATTTCTGTTCTTTATTAAAATGGGAGGGTCACCAGAGGAGTGCTGTTTACACACACACACACACACACACACACGCGCACACGCATGCACACACATGCGCACACACTCACTCACCCCTTTAAGGACTCCCCTGCCTGGATAGTTTGCTGGAACTGGAAACACTGGGTTCCATGTGTCTCCTACTACTTTTATCAGGGAGTCCCTCAAACCAACATATGAGCCAACCCCGGAACAGACACACACAGGCATTGCTACCTGGCAGGGCCTGCTTCCGCCCCCACCCTGACACTTAGCTCTGTGATAATAATGGAGCCTGAGAGGCAGTCCTGATCCCACTGCCAGGGCACACAGCCGCAGATCCACTTCCATCATGTTCCTACCCTGACCTCCCTCCACACACCCTCTCTAACTAGCCCAGAAACCTTCTTCAGGAACTCTCTCAGGCACATGAGAACCTCTAGGAGGGCTGAGTCAGGACGTGAGCCAGCTGGACCGGGGCTCTTTCTGACACTGACACGGAGGAACAGGTGGTAGGTAAGCCGGGTGTCCTCCCCTAAGTTACGCTCAAGAGGAAGGGCTGTAACCCCACATGGCCTCTCAGCCTGGAATGTAGGTGCGGTCATATTCCTCCCATTTATATTTTTAGTGTGCACCTCCTTTGGGAGCAATGAGAGTCACACATTTGCTATTGGCTGTGTAAAGTCCCATTTCCTCTTTGCAAATGTCAAGTGTTATCTTAAGTTAGAGTTCATCCTGTCCTTGCCTTTTGCAATTACATAGTCTTTGTTGACTGAGAGCAATCCACAGTGACAGCCTAAATTACAATTCACATTGTACTTAATACAAATCAATCAGCATTCCACCACACCTCTCAACAATTCAATTAAGTCAGAATGCATTGTGTGTTCAGCACTGTGACACTCATTAGTCACCGAGAACACAGCACAGGAGGGATCACACAGACACCATCACTGTTTTTCTAATTTGCATCCTATCTTACTGGACTTAAGTCCTATTTACATAGGTTATCTCATTTACTTCATTCAACCATCCTGGCCAACATGGTGAAACCCCATCTCTACTAAAAATACAAAAATCAGCCAGGCACAGTGGCAGGTGCCTATAATCCCAGCTACTTGAGAGGCTGAGGCAGGAGAATTGCTTGAACCCAGGAACTGGAGATTGCAGTGAGCCGAGATCACGCCACTGTATTCCAGCCTGGGTGACAGAGCAAGACTTCGTCTCCAGTGGGGAGAGGAGGGGAGGAAAGTGACATTAGGTTGTTTTGCAATATACAACATTGGCTGTCTTCCCTTGATTCGTTTATTCACTTCAGTTATATTTATTGAAAACTTAGTATGTACCAGGCACTGTTAAAAGGGCTTGAAATATATCAGTGAACAGAACAGATGAAGATCCCTCCCCTCATGAAATTTACATTCTCATAAGGGAGTCAAAAAGCCATAGGCATAATGAATAAGTAAATTATATAATATGTTAGAGGACAATAACTGCTAGTTTAAAAAAAAGAAACCCTAGAGTAGTATAAGGGAGATATGGTTGCAATTTTAAATAGGGTGGTCATGGAAATCCTTGTTAAGCAGGTAACATTTGAGCAAAAACCTGAGAGAGGTGACAGGTGAGGTCTGTGAATATCTGGGAAAAGCATATCAGACAGAGGAAAGAGCCAGTGCAAAGGCCCTGAGGTGGGGCCAGTGGTGTTTGACTCACAGAAAGGAGGACAGTGGACCTGGAATGGAGAGAGGAAGGGGAGGCAATAGCAGGACAGAAAGTTGGAGAGGTGATGAGGTAGCAAGATTATGTAGGGCCATAGCATATATTGTCTTGATACAGCCAAAAGGATTTTCTAAAGGGTTGGATATAGTATGTGAGAGAAAGAGAAGATCAAGGAAGACTCTAAGGCTTTTGGCCTGAGCTACTGGACGGGTGGTGTTGCTGTCATCTGAGATAAAGAAAGCTGCAGGTACAGCTGCTTTCGGGGGACTAGGAAGTTCAGTGTTTGATGATCTGTGGACATTTGGATGGAGATACTACATAGGCAACTGGATATTTAAGTCTGGAATTCAGGAATGAGATCTGGGCCTGAGATATAAATTTGGGAGTTGGTTGTATACAGATGATATTTAAAGCCATTGGATAGGATGAGCTCACCAAGTGAGTGAGTGTGGATGGAAGAGGGAATGGTTCAAGAGGGGAGTCCTGGGATACTTTAGTGGTAAGGAGTTGGAGAGAAAAGGAGAAAGCAGCAAAGGAACTTGAAAAGGAACAATCATGAGATTGGACCAGGAGTGTATGGCATCCTGGCAACCAAGAAAAGAAGGTGTATTAAAGAGGAGGGGGAAATTGATGGATGCCATGAAAAGTGACCATCAGACTCAGCAGCTTAGAGGTCATTGGTGACCTTAACAGGAACAGTCTTTGTGGACTGCTAGGGACAAAGTCTTATCGGTTTAAGAGAGTGAGAAGAGAGGAATTGGAGACAGTAAGTATAAACAGGTTTTTTTTTTCTTTATGAGCTTTGCTAAAAAGGGAAGCAAATTAGTGGAGTGATAGCTAGTCAGGGAAATGAGGTCAAGAAAAAGAATTTTTATTTGTACAATTTTGTTTTATTTTAAGATGGAAGAAGTAACAGCATATTTCTCAGAAGGTTCACAGTCTTTGTGTTGGCTTTAAGGACATTATTTACATTCAGCTTAGCTCTTGCTCAAACACACCTGCTTCATATTTGGTACTCATTTCTTGTTTGGGAATTGTTCATAAGTACATCTAAGGTATAGGCTATGGCAGATTGTGACAACTATTTGCTGAACTATTAGTCATGGACAGATTGTATTATTTTCAGAATTATTTCTCATGAGGCAAGAGAGATTAAGTAATTTATCTGACATCATACAACTGATAGAGGTAAAGTTGAAACATGAAACCACTTCTGGCCTCGATAACGTAGTTTACATCCTGATTGCAGTGCTAACAATTAGTGGGGAAAAGTTGAGAGGAGGAAATGAATAAAGGATGTGGGGGAGGGGTATAGCAGAAAGGAAGGAAGAGGAGGTTAGTGGGAAATCTGGTAGGCAATGCAGGAATGAAAAGGATTATATATAATCTCTAATAAAGAATGTTTGGAAAGCTACCCTACCTTCAATTTGACAATTCATATAAACTACTTAACACAATGCCTGGCACCTCTTGACAAATGTTAGCTGCTAACATCATTATCATCATTTCCACTGTCTCTATCCACAAAAATACATCATGAACTCTGCCAGCCCAAAGTATTAGGGTCAATTAGATTATTAAAAATTGTGTGATTCTGCACCCTTTTCCTGCACTGTCCTAAGCATGTTTCCATTTTAACCCCAGCTTTACCACTCATCATTATTGTAACAAGGATTTATCACGCATCTGCTGCATGCCAGGCACACGTTATTGTTTATTTCCCATGCAAACGTAATTTAGCTTTGCATCATGGGCACATAGTGAGTGCTCAGAAATTCCTAGAGGAATAAACAAATGGAGAATGGGGTGCCCTTTGATTTTCTGTCCTTTAGAGTTTGTCTTCCTCTACGCCCTTTTTTCTGATTTCAGTCATCAGATCCTTTTGGTTACTTGAAGTGGCCAAGTTAAGAGCAATTTCACGGACCCAAATCCCAGGCCCATGCTTCGTCCACATGATGTAGCTTGGCATACCTCATCAGAAGCTTTTTCTCAAACTGAACTTTCCAGCTCTTTTTGTGTCCCTACCCCAATATTTTATCCTTCCTCAGTCTTAACATGAATAGTTGTCAGCATTTCAACCACTCTTCAGAGCACCAGAAGGCCCTTTCTTTCTCTATCTCAAAATCATAAGACTCAGAACCTTCTGCAGTCACTAGTACCACTAGCCATGGAACCACAGAATTGGAGCTGAGGAAAATGGGTGAGGAACCTGAGGCTCCAGGAAGTGATGGGTGACTGAGTGAATGGCTGATCCCAGGGCTCCTGATACTAGACACCCCCATATCAGTGCACACAAGTGAAAGTCATCTACTAGACCTCCTCCAGGCAAGGTCATAGAGGGGTACTCCCACACAGCTTCTTCAGTACAAGTACAGCTGTTTTCCAAGTGACTGTATGGTCTCTGTGCTCAGCATGGACACATTTTCTAGTTTAAACCTTTACTGTCTGCTTCTGACCCCTCTCAGGTCACTCTGACTGCTGAGACCTCATGTAGCTACATTTCCTGGCCCCGGAAAAGTCTCCATCTTCTTCTGACCAAAGAGCGATACATCTCCTGCCTCTTCTCGGCTCTGCTGGGTTATGACATCTCAGAGAAGCTCTACACTCTTAATGACAAGCTCTTTGCTAAGTTTGGGCTGCGCTTTGACATCCGCCTTCCCAGCCTCTACCATGTCCTGGGTCCCACTGCTGCAGATGCAGGACCAGAGTCCGAGAAGGGTGATGAGGAAGCCTGTGAGCCAGCTGCATCCCCTCCTCAGGCCACGCCAACCTCTCTCCAGCAAACACCTCCTTGTTCTCCCCCTCCAGCTGCCACCAACTTTCCTGCACCTCCTTCCCGGGCCAGGTTGTCCAGGCCAGACAGCGGCATCCTGGGTGAGGACTCCACCAGTCTGGTGCTGGAGGATTTTGAGGAGGTGTCAGGATCAGAATCATTTATGGATTATAGGAGTGATGGGGAGTACATGAGGTGAAGGGAGAACTAACATGGGCACAGCCACCGGCTCAGGATCCTATGTAAGTACTCAGAAGGCAGCTGCCGCACATTCCTGTCAACGGCTGGCCTTAACTCAGCTTGTTAGGGCAAAAAAAAAAAAAAAAAAAAAAAAAAAAAAAAAAATCATTTGTGGAACATCTCCTCTTAGAGGACTCACAGAAAGTGGCATTAACCCAACTTTGCAGATAGCAACTCACTCTGGGTGCATGCAAGGCATGAAGGGATTTTAAAAACTCATTCATTATTAACTGTGATTGCATTTTGGAAAGTGGGCTGGTTGATATGTTGAGCCAGGAAGGTAGATTGCTAAGCATTTTTGCAAGTTTGTTCTAATAGCTGAGGCCACAGCTGGAGTTAAAGGGGCTTTTATTTGTGGCATGCATTTTAAAAGAAAAAGAATGTGGCAGGGTTCTAATTCCGATTGCTTGTCTTTGCTGGTATAGAGCCCGTCCTGGAAAGCAGTTGTTATTTAGCCTAGACTGGGCAGGCATCTCTATTAAAATTGCATATTTTAAAGAGAATTGTGATTATGGGCTAATAGCTCGGGGAGGAAAATGTCCTCATCTTGCTTTCCTCTCACCCAGTGAAGAATGTGTTTGTTGATCACACAGACAGAGGACTCGATACTGCTATGAATAAATGTTACTATGATCAGATAGGTATATGGCAGCCTGGCTTTCCCGTCACCCACACCTGTGGGAGGTAGGATGTGTATAAATCCTGGAGGGCCTCACGGTGCGTGCAGGATTTCCCTCACAGAATTTCCCTCCCCAGAGAGTCCACAAGAAAGTCTGTGCCCAGTGGTTCTGGGAAATTGCTCTCGTGTTCCCCCGGCCCCCTCACAATGCTGTGACGTTTTTTTCTGTAACTCCACCCAACCATGATGTAGGCCTGAATTTCCTGAGGAAAATCCCATTGTTCCAATTTGGAAGGCGCTTCCCACTGTTCTTTAGAAAGCACCAATAAATTACCTGAGAAATTAGCCCAGTGAGGAAGGTCTCCAGAGTACATGAAATGAATGAATGAATGTTTGTCTCTTCTGAAAAACAGGTTATATAAACGATGAAAGAGGGCCCGGAGGTGACTGATGAAAGGTTAGAGATTTGGTTTTGTAGATATGGAATTTACAATCTCCTGTGTTACCAGCGTCCTTAGAACCATAGTTCAGCTGATTCTGAGGTAATTCCAAGGATCAGTCTAACACTCCAGATCACTTTGTTGAGTTCCTCCAAGTGTGTATTGGCCGCTCTGATCACTCCTTTCCCTCTGCGCAGCTGTTCGCCTTCCTACTCATTCATCCTGCATCCACGCATGCTCCTCATGACCTGTGGATCCCTCTTGGTCCAACTTGCCCATCCACCTATACACTCTCTCTTGGACTCACAGCAGCTCTGTTTTCTCATGTTGTTCTTCCTGGTTTTCTTCTCTTTCCTTGGTTCTATTTTTCTCTTCTTTCTTCTCCAATTTCTTCTTAGTCCTTGATTCCTTGATTGTCTCCATTTGCTGTTTTGTTGTTTTTTTTTTCCCTTTCCTTTCTTGAGACAGGGTCTCACTCTGTTACTCAGGATGAAGCGCAGTGGCACGATGTCAGCTCACTGCAGCCTCTACCTCCAAAAGTTCAAGTGATCCTCCCACCTCAGCCTCCCAAGTAACAGGGATTACAGGCACATGTCACTGTGCCTGGATAATGTTTAATTTTGAAATGTTTTTTGTAGAGACAAGGTCTCCCCATGTTGCCCAGGTTGTTCTCGAACGCCTGGGCTCAAATGATCCTCCTGCCTTGGTCTCCCAAAGTGCTAGGATTACAGGCATGAGCCAGCTTACCTGGCCAGTTTGCTGCTCTTAAGTGTCCGTTTTCTTCCGTCTTCTCAGTTTATTTCTCCCTCTTCAGTTGTCTCTTGTTTTCTTCCATTTTATTGTTCATATATTTATCTCTCCTATTACCTCCTTTTTTCTTTCCCACTTTTTTTGCCTTGCTCTATGTATTCTTCCTCCTAAACCCCTGTACCCCCATCTTATTAGTTTTTAATCCTAACTCTTCCAAAGATCAGTACTTTTCCCTCTGCCTATAAAGAAAACCATACGGCCAGGCGCGGTGGCTCAAGCCTGTAATCTCAGCACTTTGGGAGGCCGAGGTGGGCGGTTCACGAGGTCAGGAGATCAAGACCATCCTGGCTAACACGGTGAAACCCCGTCTCTACTAAAAATACAAAAAAATTAGCCGGGCGTGGTGGCGGGCGCCTGTAGTCCCAGCTACTCAGGAAGTTGAGGCAGGAGAATGGCGTGAACCCAAGAGGCAGAGCTTGCAGTGAGCCGAGATCCGGCCACTGCACTCCAGCCTGGGCGACAGAGTGAGACTCCGTCTCAAAAAAAAAAAAAGAAAAGAAAAGAAAACCATTCAAGTGAAGGTGTAAAATCCCCAACTTCAGGAATATTTTTCAAACATCAGGAGGCAGACAGCACGGTAAATGAGAAAGAGACCAGGACTGGGAATCCAAAGTCCTGGCTTCTATGTCTGGCTTTGCTACTAATCAAATACGTGACTTTTTTGCAAACCATACAACCTCTCTAAACCTTACTTTCTTCGTTTGAGCGTGTTGGACCAGCTGTCGCCAGGAACCCTCTTGGATTTATCTGAGAAGGCAAGGATAAGTTTTTCAAAGGAAGAAAAGAGGAGCAGTCAGACCGCAGTTCAGTAGACACGAGCCCCAGGACATCTGAGTGCCTTTCAGCAAGAGCTCTCTGCGGTGTTTCACTACAGTTTCTCTGCCGCCTTGGGACTCTCCCCCACCCTTGTGGTGGTGGGTCTTGCTTCACTAGAAGTTCCCTCCATTCTGTGGCTGTGAAGAATCTATCACTTACCATGTGATTGCAGTGAAGATTTTTTTTTTTCATTTTCCTTCTCTCTCTCTCTCTCTCTCTCTCTGTCTCTCTCTCTCTCTCTCTCTCTCTCTCTTTTTTGAGACAGTCTTGCTCTGTCTCCCAGGCTGCAGCGCACTGGCGCTGTAAGCTTCGCCTTCCGGGTTCACGCCATTCTCCTGCCTCAGCCTCCGGAGTAGCTGAGACTACAGGCGCCCGCCGCCACGCCCGGCTAATGTTTTTGGTATTTTTGGTAGAGACAGGGTTTCACCGTCTCCATCTCCTGACCTGGTGATCCGCCTGCCTCGGCCTCCCAAAGTGCTGGGATTACAGGCGTGAGCCTCCGCGCCCGGGCTACAGTGCAGATATTTTATGTGAGAGGAGATCACAACTCACTCCCCAAGCCCTCAACCCTTAATACATACATGCCTCTTTCCAAATTCAACCTTTTCTAAAACTCAAGGTGAGAAAACTGCTGTTGAGGCTCACTTTCTAAAATACCGGCATTTGCAATATGGAGAGAATAGGTTTTTCATGTTTCTTTGTTTAAGCAGTAGAGAGAAAAGAAAATTATGTTGTTTACTTTTTAGGCCATAGAGGTTTTCAGAACAACTTGAAAACATGATCAAATTAGCCAAACTTCTGACAGTTTTCAATGTAGTCTGTGATAATGGGATAATTTAGCCTCAGTTCTTTTTCTGGAATTGTGTTTTGAATGTTTGGTTTTACTTATTTACCATCAAACTTGCTGTAAGGTTATTACTGTAACTGATAGGCCTATTCCCTTATGATTGGGAGCAATTTACTGTTGTTTCTTTCACAAAGTACGGCACCATTCACTATCTATTTCCTGGCTCTTTAGTTATCAAAATTTTAAGCTCATTGCTATTCATCCCATCACAGCACTTATATGAGAGGCATGAAGCTGGCTGAATTCTGCATCATTAGGGGTGACACAGTCTCATTACATTGATACCAGCGCTTGTCTCTCACACCAATCCAAATTAAGACCAACTGAAAATAGCCAAAGTTTCCTCTTGAACTCCTTGTTGAAGACACATATGTGTTTTAGTCTGGTGGTACCCAAAATTGAACAAAAAAATGGGTGCTGCTTCTCTTAACAGTCAAAATTATGCTGCAGGATAATGTATTCATGCAGGGTCTTCCAGTCAGACCCCAAATTATCACTGCCTTCACTAGAATTTTTCTGTTTAATTCTATGGCCACTCTCCACAGGAATCCATTCTGTGTCTTACTTATAGGAGATGCTCAGTGAATGAAGGATTTATCTTCTAGAAATGCAGCTCCGATGTAGTCTGTTGAGTGAAATAATGAATCCATTATCACAGACTAAATTGAAAGATGTCTGACATCTGGAGGATTTTAATTTTGTTTCACATTGTTCTGAAAACTCTGTGGCCTGGAAAGCGAAAACTGTACTGTTTCTTTTCTCCCTATTATTTAAATAAACAAATGATGAACAGATTACAAAATGGAGGACGCTCGAGGTAAGGGAAGGAGCCCCTCGACAGGAGGATCAGGACATAGTACCAAGCGCCAGAGAAATGATTCGATAAACACTTACTATTTACCATATATTTCAGGCATGGTTCTAGGTAATCACATAATAAGTAGTTGAAAGAACTGAAAATGTTTAATCTGCAAGAAAAGGGCAAATGTAATATCTTCAAATTTTAAAAAGAATGTGAATTAGAACTTAATTTGGTGTAGTTTTTGTGGGCAGAAATTGAATGGCTGAAAGTTACAAGAAGGATTTTAGCTTAGTATTGATACTGGATTGTTCATGGGTAGTGAGAGTTACTCATCACTGGAAGAGTTCAAGCAGGGGCCAAAAGAAATCTCAGAGATTTTATAAGGTGATTCACGCTCTGGGGAAAGGATGCCTTGGATTATTGCTGTTAGAGTACCTTCTAACTCTAGGATTCTGTGGTTCTAAAATCTGGACTCTAGCCTTGCCATTCACCTGCCATCAAGAGCAGGTTCCTCATCTGAAGGACAGGACCAAGATGTCTCTGTCTACCTTACCACGTTGCTGTGAGGAGCGATTGTGATAAAATACATAAAGGCAGTTTTTAAGCTGTGAAGCACTAGTTAAATGTGTAGCGTATTTTAAGATTCTGCCGGGCGCGGTGGCTCAAGCCTGTAATCCCAGCACTTTGGGAGGCCAAGACGGGCGGATCACGAGGTCAGGAGATCGAGACCATCCTGGCTAACACGGTGAAACCCCGTCTCTACTAAAAAATACAAAAAAAAAAAAAAAAACAACCCGGCCAAGGGGCCGGCGCCTGTAGTCCCGGCTACTCGGGAGGCTGAGGCAGGAGAATGGCGGAAACCCGGGAGGCGGAGCTTGCAGTGAGCTGAGATCCGGCCACAGCACTCCAACCTGGGTGACAGAGCGAGACTCTGTCTCAAAAAAAAAAAAAATAAACAAATAAAATAAAAATAAAAAAAGATTCTGTTGTATGTACAATTATTTAGCAGTCTCTCTCTCTCTTTCTCTTTCTTTTATCAGAGATAGATGATTTTCCCTCTTATTTCCCCCAGTTTGGCTTTTCAGGGAAGGTGGCAGCTGGCAGAATCCCCTGACAACAAAAGGTACAGCAAAAAGTGGAGGCCTAAAGAAAACATGTGCTAGCCCCTTAGCCTCTGAATAACGAAGTCACACCGCAGTCTGCTCTCCTTCATCTGTTTGGGAGGAGGCAGATTAGAGTCATCAGGCTCTTCCCCTCAGAAGCAGCTGTAAGGTATTTGGTAGCTGTCAGTGCTAGCAAACAGCACTTTTCTCACAGAACTACTGGAAAGAGTCCTGGCACAGAAAACTTGCTCTTGAAAGTGACACGGCCAGAACAGTGGTCTCTAGAGGGTTGTGCCACCTCTACCTGCCACAGGTTCCATTGTCAGCCAGGTAAGTTAGAGGCAGCAGGTCCTCACCTGCCCTCTGGATCACAACAGCCTGGGGCTGCTCCCAACTCATGTTTCCACTTCTGCCTTACAGGCCTCATTTTCCTACCCATCTTTCGGTAAAAATGAAAGTCAGGAGTCTTATGAAACTTACCATTATTCAATACAGGCTTTTGGTTTTTTTCTTTAAATTAGATAGGGTTAGGTAAGAAGTAGAGTTCTGTAGAATGTTCATAGGAAGCAACAAATGTTGATCTCTTGATCTCTACAATAGGAGAGGATTGGGCTAGATAACTTCAAAGCTGACTTGCCCTAATATTCTAGTACGAAATGATTCAAAGGTACACCTGCCCCTCTCATGTCAGGCAGTGAGTACAGCTAAAACACTGGGAATTGATAGAGGAAAAGAAAAAAATTGAAAAGAACCCTTTGAAGTTAGACAAACGGTCCAGAGACATAGTGCTAAAATCCTCCCTCTTCCTCTTTCCACAGCTTCTAGAATTCCTCTCCAGAGCTACTCTCCAGTTATATCCAGGGGACAGGCCCCTTTGGCTCCAACCCACACGCCTGAACTTTAAGGATCATTGGACTGTCTTCTCTGTGGCCGGCACAGCTCTCTTCTGTATTCACAGAATGGCCACTGATAGGCACGCCTCTTTCCCCACCCACTGGAAGGCTCACAGGCAAGGTGAGAGAGGACACAGAAGGTGCCAACACTGTCGCTATAGTAAGGACCTTGAGTGACTTTGAGAAATTCACCCTCGCAAGCCTTCCTTCAGGAGCAGGCATTGGACGTGTAGAGGCGCAGATTCCATTCTTTACCAGCTGCAGAATCTTGGGCAAGTTGCACGGCCTCTGTGAGCCTCATCGGCAAACAGTGGGGGTAATGAAACCCACCTCACAGGGTTGTTGTGAGGATCCGATGAGTTGATTTAGGTAAGCACCTAGCACATGGCGTGGCACCAAGTAAGCACTCAATAAATCACTCAATTCCTTTCCCTATGTCGTTTCTTTGCATTGTCTGAAAGGATCAGTGGAGTCAAAGATCCAGCTTTTCACTGGTGATTATTTTTTATTTTTCAATTAAGATTCAAATTTATGGAAGTCGAAATTTTAAAACCTCGTTTTCCCTTAGACTGTGACATTTAACTTATATCTCTTTTTCTATTGATGAACCTAGTATTAAACAATAGTTTTTAGAGGAACTTCTACAAACTTAGTTTATTAGGTTTTCTTAAACATCTTAAAGTAGATTTATAAATTTAATATATTCTATTTTCCTTTTTCTTTAAACACTTCAACAATATTTCAGTTATCTATTGCTGTGTAATATCAATCCCTAAAATAGTGACTTAAAATAGTCCTAATAATTTGTTGTGCCCATGAGTGTGGGGCCTGACTGGGCTCAGCTAGGCGGTTCTCACTCAGGGTTTCTCATGTTGTTTCAGTCAGATAGTGGTTCAGTCTAGAATCATCTCTAAGGCTTCTTCACTCACCTGTCTGGGAAGACTCAAACAGCTGAGAGCTGAAACAGCTGGGAATCCTTGGACATCTTTCCCTCTCAGTAGCTTTTTCGTTTTTGTTGCTGTGTACTCTTTGTATCACTATACCACAATTTATTTATCCAATCTACAATTGATGGGCATTTGGATAGTTTCCAGCTTGGGGCAATTACAAATAGTGCTGCTATGAACATTCTTGTACATGTCTTTCGGTATACATATGTATACATATCTTGGATATATACCTAGGAATGGAATTACTCAGGCATTGGGTAACCCTAGAGGGCTGTTGTGGAGAGTAACCAAAGCAATAAACAAATAACAAAAAAGTACACTGGGCCAGGTGCAGTGGCTCACACCTATAGTCCCAGCACTTTGGGAGACCGAGGCAGGTGGCTCACTTGAGGTCAGGAGTTCAAGACCAGCCTGACCAACACAGTGAAACCCCGTCTGTACTAAAAAAATACAAAAGGTAGCTGGGCGCAGTGGCAGGCACCTATAATCCCAGTTACTCGGGAGGCTGAGGCAGGAGAATTGCTTGAATAAGCTGAGAGGCAGAGGTTGCAGTGAGCCAAGATTTGCACCATTGCACTCCAGCCTGGGCAACAGAGCAAGACTCCGTTTCAAAAAAAAAGTACACTGTACACTGTAAATTGAGAGTCAACATAACCTGGATGTGGTGCCACTGCCCAACCTGGAGGATCACCAAGGCAGGGCTGTCATTACACACCTATGGCATATAGCAGTGGTTTCTCAAGATGAGGACCTCTTTAATCCCTTTTCTCCGCCAAAGAATCAGACCTTACATTGTCGAAGTTGTGCTTTTATTATCTAATGGTGTATGTAAGGCAAAAGACATTTGGATTTCAGTAGGATTTTTAGATAAATTTACAGGTTTTAAAAATTCGCCACAACAGTCTCTTTATATATTTGAAAAATAGCATTACATATATGTATAAAGCAAAAACCGGTGAGAGACCATGGGGAGAAGAATTGCCTGGAGGGGGAAACTAAGTCCATCTCCAATGTTCAGTACCTCTTCTCTTTCTGTTTTTCTTTTTTTGAGATGGAGTCTCGCTCTGTTGCCCAGGCTGGAGTGCAGTGGCACAATCTTGGCTCACTACAAGCTCTGCCTCCTGGGTTCACGCCATTCTCCTGCCTCAGCTTCCTGAGTAGCTGGGACTACAGGCACCCGCCACCACATCTGGCTAATTTTTTGTATTTTTTAGTAGAGACGGGGTTTCACCGTGTTTGCCAGGATGGTCTTAATCTCCTGACCTCGTGATCCGCCCGCCTCGGCCTCCCACAGTGCTGGGATTACAGGCATGAGCCACCGCGCCCGGCCGCACCTCTTCCCCTGGTTTCCTGTAGACACCCATACAAATCTTGAGGTAGAAGTGAAAACAATACTGTCAGCAGTTTTACGTCTGTCGTCTTTGATTTCATGCACTGACATGTGCCTCCTACTTGGAAATTTATCTGGTGATTATACTTTATTTCACTGTGGTTCACTTCTGTGATATCATCCTTCCTGAAAGTGTCTTCACCCAGCACATGATCACCAACTGTCACATGATTGCGTCACTGCCACAGGGGAGCCCAGGACACAGCACAGAAATCAGCTTAGTCCAGCCTGTAAACTGAGCCTTTGCTTAATAGCCTGGAATTGCCCTCCACCCCTCAGCCCTCAGGCTTGAAATCCTATTCACCCCTCAAACCTAATACACATGTCCTCTCCCTATGCACACTCTCCTGGTCTTCACCTCGCCCTCAGCATTGACCAATCCCCTTCAGGACTCGCAGAGTCCTCTGGGGCCACCCCCCTCAGCTCTCATCCCTTGCTAGGCACTTGAGGGCTGGGGAAGTCTTACTTATTTGCTGTGGCCCCAGCACCTCACACAGGGCCACTTGTGTGACATTTAGTTGGTAATGCTTAAATGTTGGTTAAACTCAGCTGTTAACTGCTAGTAGGACAATTCATGTGCGCATTTCGGCAAGGGTAAGGTTAACACTTGGGGTTTTAGAGATTTCTAGTTCCACTTTCCAGTTTTCTTTTCTTCTCTCCCTATTCAAACCAGCAGGAAAAGAGAGTAGTAGTTCAGCGGTTGGTGCCAAAATCCAGAGCCTTATCAGGGGGAATACACAAGAAGGGACAGATCTCAGATGCATTTTAAGATATTGAGAGACAGAGTCTGAGTATAAATTGGGGGAAGGAGGCAAACGGCTTTAAAAAAATTTTTTTTTAGCACTGTGATGTTCTGAGTCAAAGATGACTCAGGTTTCAAGCCTGGATGATTGGATCGTGGTGGCAGCTATTACCATAAAAAGTGGAGGAATAACTGGGGAAGATGTTGATTTCCTTTTGGATGGATTGAGTTTTGACTCTCGTCAGGACACTAAGTGGACACAGAAATGCAAACAGTTGTTTTCATAGATGAGGGTAAATGCTAAGGATCAGAGAGGATTCCAAGGCCTTCTTAGGGCCTAGGAAGACTCAGGCACTGGATACTCTCATCACCCCCATGTTCTTCTTAAGGGTACGAAACCTACCTCCTCTGAGATGGTGGGACAGGGGGGAGTTGTGATGGTCATCCCAGGGCTTGGGGTGTGCCCAAGAGTGAGATCAGATATGTGTTTGTGGCTGTGGGGAGCAGCATATGTCACTTTCAGAATGTCAGACTTGGGACCACTCAACCAGGAGATCAAGGGCTGGGTGAGAATTCAGCAATTACAGAAGATTTATGTTTCAATGTAATATCCTTTTTCCTACAGAGATTTAAAACTTTTAAAAGTTTACACATACAATTTTAAAACAAGATGAGTACATGAAGGCCATTCCTGACACTTATGAAAAGACATTAAGCCCTCCTTTAAAGTTAAGCCTCTCTGTGCCTGACTTTCTCTCCCTGCCTTTGTCTATACCACTAAGATTACTGCCTTTAATTCAATTCACGGAGCTTTTATTGTATGCTTACAATGAATTACAGTGTTTTGGGGACACAGTGAAAGAGAAAACATAGCCCCTGCTTTTAAAGACCTTACAATCTCATCATAGAGGCGTGACATACATGCAGTAAGCTATTAACCACCATTGCAAGGCAGCATAGTTACTGACTGATAGAACATATGGGTGACCAGGTTCCCTGGGGAAGATAGAAATGGAAGTGGACCCTGAGTTATTGGTAGAATATAAAAGTGCGGGGGTGGGAAGGAGAAGGAACAAAAAGACATGGAGATGACATTGACCATAGTATGTTTTAGGGGAATACTGGCTTCAGCACACTGGGGAAAGTGGCAGATAATTTTAGTTAGGCAGAGTAGGGCCAGACTGAAGAACCCTATTGAGCTAATACATCTTGGTTGCAAGTGCTAGAAACCAACGTGAACAGGCTAAACTGTACAAAAACATGGTGGTTAGAGCTCAGATTCTGAAGTCAGATGGCCTTGATGTGAATCCTGATTTTATCCATTGCTAACTATAGTGGACAAGTTACTTAATTTCCTTGTCCCTGTTTCCTCATATGTAAAATGAAGTAATACATGGATTTATTGGGAATATTAAATAAGATAATTTGTGTAAGCTAACTGCAACTTTACCTAGCATATACTAACTGCTCAGGAAGTTTTATCTTTTTTGTTGATAATGTTGACGATGTTGATAATTATGATGACGAAGCGAAGGAGAACTTAAAAGGACACGGGGGTGCCTTATAGAATTCAAAGACAGAAATGCCTCCAGATTTTAATATGGGACTAGATCAGAAAGCCATCAGGGAAAGCAGAAAGCCGTCAGGGACCCAGTCACCATCTTCTGTTTCTGTTTCTCTTAGGAGAACTGCAACATGTTTCTCTTTTCCAACAGAGCAGTCTTTCCTGTTTCTCTGTTCTCACAGTGGAATATGTTCGCCCTCAGCTCCTGAGTTCATATGGAACAATTCCAACTACCAGAAGACAAGTATGGCAGCCTCTTAGTTGTAATTTCAGACTTTCAGGAAGGAAATCTACCTTGTCCAGATTCAGTCATGTGTCTACTTCTGGTCCGCTCACCTGGGCCTGAGGACCGGGTCATGCAGTAC